ATAGTCTCCATTGACTTCCATAGTATTTTTTCCCCTACTGTGGAAGTCAATGAGGATCAACAACTCCTTTCTTCAAAATAACTTATTTTGTTTTCAACATAAGCAAGAAACTTATACAGGTCCAAATACAGGTTTGGAACGACATGAGGGAGAGTAAATGATGACAACATTTTAATTTTTTGTTGAACTATTCCTTTAATACTGATAGTCATAGACAATCACCCTGTAATTGCAATCAGTGCAAACCTGTCAACAAACAATAAATAAATCCATCATTTCAGTGGAACAATCACAATTAAACAACCATTTCATTGCATGTGAAACATAACACTGAGGATGAGAAAGTGGCAAACAGGATATGACAGACTGTTTTCTGAATCCACTATACACCCTCTCTCTCAATGGCATTTGTCCAGCAGTAGAGAGTGAATAAAAGAGGGGAAATTCATGCTGGGCATTTTGAGAGGTGCTTTATGATCCGTCTTCATCACATACACTGATCGCAGTGCGGTGCTGTGGGATGTTACTGTGCCTCTGCATATCTGAATCAAAGGAATCCACGCTTCTGCATGCATTATTAAAGCTTAGCTGTGCCATGTGCATTCACTTTATTCAGCTTCTACAAATCCAGTACTGTTATCACATCAACATAACACTCCATCATGCTTGTTATTTCTGACATGCTTAGGGTCTGGACCGCAAGCCGTACTTGTTGATTTCAGATCAGTTCTGCTCTGTCCACATGGATCAGTTTTTCAGACACAACCACGGATCTCAAGACCCAAATACAGACCAATACCAGATCCCCTAAGAACCAAACCAGTACTAGATCCCATAAGACTCGGAGCAATACCTGACTCACCCTAAGACCCAGACACAGCCCCCTCATAAGCCAGTGCCCAATCTGTATCCAAGCTGTCCTTTTCCACACAAAAAAACCCTGGACCAGTGGCTAAACCTTGGTTCTGAACTGGGTTTAGCCTCAAAGCCTTGCAAGTCTTGAACAAGGGAACCTTTGGTTTCAGTGGACAGAACTTTTATAGCTCCCAAGTCGGTGAGTGAGTTCTGCCCCCGGCCAAGCACTGACTCCAGTTCCAGCACCAGCCCTAGTTGAAAGAGGTACAAGACTCAGACTCCTTAAGGACAAGATGTAGACCAATACCAGACCCTCTAAGAGCCAAACCAATAACATATCCCTTAAGAATCAGACCAATACTAGATCCCTCTAAGGTCAGATATGGACCATTTCCAGTGACCAGTTAGTGATCCTCTTAGTCCCATAACCACAAAAGATCCAATGAGATCGAGCCCAATCCCAGTCCCTACTAAGACCCATACCAAAACCAATACCAGAGCCCTTATGACTCAGATTCGAGACCATTTACACCCATACAGTTCCTTTAAAATCCATACCAATTCCTGACCCTATAAGACCCATACCCAAACCAATATCAGAGCTCCCAAGACTCAAACAGATTACAGACCCTCTTGCAAGCATACAATACAGATCCCCTAATATCCAGACAATCTCCAGACCCCCTAAAACCCATTCCCAAACCAATACCAGAGCCTCCGAGACTCAGACAGATTCCAGAACCTCTGACTCCCAGACAATACAGATCCCCTTAGATCCAGGTCAACTCCTGCCCCCCAAGACCCATACCTAAACCAATACCAAGACTCCGACCAGTACTAGACCCCTCAAGGTCCAGATATAGACCAATCCCAGACCAATTAGAGACTCCTTAAGACCCATATCAATTTACGATCTCTCAAGACCCTGATATAGACCAAATTCTAAACTCTTGAGGCCCAGAAACATAGACAACAACCTAACCACAACCTTGTCTACAACCCAACCTAACACCTGTCTTGGGTCTTGAAAATTCCCACCAGTAAATGCTAGGAATAAACTGTGACCTACCTTGCCTGAGACCAAACGCACGATCCAAACCAAGACTTTGTTTTTATACCAAGTCCAAGGCCATGTTTATGTGATCCTGTTTCATGACTAAGACCCCAAGATCAAGATTCTGGCCAGAAGGTTGTCAGCTGCTAAAGATAGATGGACAAAGACATTGGATAACATGAATTTAAGCTTCAAACTCCTGTGGAAAAAGGTTGGCAAGCTAAAAGTGTGATAGTGGAATACCACAGTTTTCTGTCTTTTCTTTTTGTTATCTCTGCTTCTCTTTGGATCTCTTTTACTGAAAGTGTATTTTTGGGTTAGAAAGTCTGGAAGTCGAACCCATTATTTTCACACAAGGCCACAGTGACCGATACCCACAGATTGATTTGTCTTTGTGTTTGTTGACTGCTCAACATTGTTGTAATTGCTCTGTGTAGGGGAACAGAATCTTTTAGGGGATCAAAATCAATACCACAAAATTGCCAGAGTACCAAAGTATCTGTCTGTCTTCATCCCTGAGCAGTTCTGAACAAGATTTCAGAGTTCTGTTGCTGCACAGGTTAGTAACTCTAAGGGACATTTCAGGAACATTGTAAAAGTATTCTTTACTGGTTGCAGTAATGTTGCACTGCAGTTTGGTTAGCACAGGCTTGTGCAGTACTTTATCTACAGTCCCATGATAGCTGTGGTTAAATCCAGTCACATGGATCTCATGGTTTAAACATGGTTCACTAGTGTTATTTTGTGGTGAGCAGTGGTGATGTAATGCTGATGTAATGTTGTCAGGCTGTTTTGTGTTTTTGACGCTTTCAGCACATTTCAGGGAGGTAGAGGGTAATTAGATCCAAATGAGGCCATTATGTAGAGATTGATTACAACGGAGGTTACATGTGCTGCTGGATGTCTGCACAAGACGCATACACACTGCTGCAGCAAGCCATGATAACACACTGTCCTTGAGCAAGACCGGGCACTGTGAAATGTAAGGTTGATGAATAGCATGCTTGGAGGTGTGTGTGTGTGTGTGTGTGTGTGTGTGTGTGTGTGTGTGTGTGAGAGTGTGTAATCATTTAGACATGCACGAGTATTTGTGATTTAACTCTGGGGTTTGGCATATGATTATACCAGCGCTTTGCAGGTTTGCTGTGTGTGCGTATGTTTGTGTGTTAAGACATAAATTACTAAAAAATAACATCGGCAGCATTTACCTGACTTCAGATCTCTCTCAAATGTCTGTTTGATTTCTCTGTATTGTTGGTTGTTGGCGTGCTGTACAGAAATGACTTGTGAGAACTATTAGAAAGAATGATGAATGGCCACATTTATGAACACAAATAGGCCTGTTGCAATTATGCGATGGCAATCAAATAATGATAATCCAAATAAGATTTTTTTTTTGTTATTTGTTTGTGTTATATAAAAAAAAATATAACTCTCCGTTGGACCTTTTCTCAGATGATTTATGTTTGTGCATTATGAATGCAACCTACTTCATCTGTCTGCCTGTGTCTGTCTGTCTGCATATTTCAGTCTGTTTGTATGCTTGTCTCTATCTATCTGTCTGTCTGTCTGTCTGTCTGTCTGTCTATCTATCTATATGTCTGTCTGTCTCTCTGTCTGCCTGCCTATTTAAGTCTGTTTGTATGTTTGACTGTCTATTGTCTGTCTGTCTTGTCTGTTTTTCTGTCTGTCTGTCTTCATGCATGTCTATCAGTCTGTCTATCTAGCTGTCTATCAGCTCGTCTGCCTGTTTTGTTGTCTATCTTTCTGTCTTGTATGTCTGTCTATCATCTGTCACTCTTGTCTGTCTGTCTGTCTGCCCTGTCTGTCAGATTTCCATGACTTTCAGTTCTGTTAACTGTTATGAAATGTCTCCATTCCTGTACAATACAGACAACTGGCTTCTCTTTCACTTGTTTCTTTAAAATTGCAAAAATAATTTTGAACAAGATCTTTAGGCATCTGAATCATTTCGTTTCCAATCCATAATGTATCCTAGATTGAAGGATTCAACATTTACAGTCCCATCTGTATAATATTCTGAATATAAGACCAGCATTTGCATATTCTAAAACAGGAGGAACAGAAGAGAGAAATGATGAGAGAGAACGAAAGAAAGAGGGAGAGAGAGTTGAGGGGAGGGGCTGTTGTAACAGATGCTCTCTAATTTAAAGCTGGAACGTGTGTGTCAGTGGCGAGCGGGGCTGTGAAGAATAAATGAGAGAGAGAGAAGAATAGAGTAGAGCTGTGTTATACAGCTTGCCCTAGCTGTATTGATTTGGATGCCAGAGACTGCGATAGAGAGAGAGAGAGAGAGAGAGAGAGAAGTGTAGCCACTTTTTCAGATGGTCTCTCCTACCTGAAACACAAACATACTGCGGTTACAGGAAAGAGAACTGGACAGTGTCTATCTGTGAAAGAGTGAAATAAACAAGAGAAGAACTGCAGATGCCCAACTCTGCTTGGAAGAAGACTGTGTGTGAAAGGCAGAGGCAAGCAGCAAGAAATGATGTGAGGGATAAAAAAGACAGACGCGGACCCTCGTGTTTGGACCGGTGGGACCTGGATTGCAGAAAGCAAATTCTGCAGGATTCATTGCTGATTTTAACCTGCAACACTGCTTCTGAACAGATTTGTTGCGGTTTCTGAAGTACAGAAGACTACAGAAGACAGAAACTGTGTTTTGGATGCTGAATAATATATCACGTGATTTATTTATGTGCTATGAATTAGTGGTGTGATTTGATTGGTCTTGCGGACTTTGCCTTTTGATTCATTTTGTACACAAATTGAAAGGTAGAAACTGGAAACTAATGGAAACGACAAGAGACTAACATCAGAGAAGGTATAAGGGGAGGAGACGGCTCGTGACAAAATGAATGGAAGAATTTTCTACTTACAGTATGGTGGCCGTAGAAATAGAAATCTCACTTTTCTATTAGAAGAACCAGACACCTTTTTTATAGAGGCATCGGCTGCTTATTTACTCTTGAACATGCATTAGCTGGACCAGCCTGAAAAATAGTTTTAGTTTGGGCTAAAGATTTATTCGATGTTATTATATTTTGTAATTTTAACGAAAAAATTTGTGTTTCAAGTTAATGTGAGGTTTAATGTTCTAAGGATTTACCAAGATGGCCACCAATTAAACTAGAGTGACAGTCGCACTCAAGACTATTTTGTAACTAAATTCAGTCTAGTAATGATATTTTCAGTCGTTTTTGTGTGTGGCGAGAATGAAGCTCTTTATGCTTTGTTCTGCACTGGTTCCGCCCCCCATCACACCTTCTCTTCACGCCTTGGCCCCGCCCCCTTCTGATCATGCAAGTGCTGCAGATTGTTAAGGAGCTGGTGTCGCCCTCTCGCCGCCGCGCCAGTAGCCGATTTGCAGGTGTGTATGTGAAACTGTACAAAAGAGTGTACGTTTGTATGTGTTTGGAGTAACTGAGTCTGACAATATCTTGAAAAGCTTGCGGTTATTTTAGTAGTTTCGCTTTAGTGTATTTGAAAAAGTTGTGTATGTCTGTGTGGATAAGAGGGAAGTCAAGGACAAAGTAAAGACATCTATTTATAAAAGCCGCTTTGTTCTTTTAAAATGTACTCACCTTCATGTTGTTCCTAACTCGCATTATTTTCTTTCTTCTGTGGAACACAAAATTTGCTGTTCTTTAAAAAAAAAACACACACATTGTTCGCCAAGACCGATATATTGGTCAATATTTGTCAATTTTTAAAAATTATCAGCATTGCACAATACGTTTTTCTGTTTGGCTGAAAGGTGTCTGAAGTGGGGCAGTTTTTATTAATTAGAATACGATTTACTCATTTGTTTCATCGGTTTACTAAATTGTGTGACGATTTACAAATTCGTTCCATCGTTTTAAGTAATTTGTGCGCTCAATATAATAATTTGTTCCCTTGTTTTTTAGTAAGTTGTGCACACAAAATAATAACTTATGCTCTTGTTTTAAGTAAATTGTGCGTAGGAAACAATAATTTGTTCTACTTCCTGTCCACTTTCTCAATACAGCTTAAAATGATTTCATGCAACGCTGCAAGGCTTTTGAGAATGTCTCTATAACTCATTGCCAACTCAAAATAAAACCCAATTAAAGTGTCTCTGTCCATAACATAGCAGCAACTGGAAGTAGAACAAATTATTATATTGAGCAAACGATTTACTTAAACCGAGGAAACGAATTAGGAAATTGTGTGCACGATTTACCTTTTTTTCCCCCTGCTTATCATGTGTGGGTCTCAGTATTAAACAATGAAAGTAAGCAATAAATGAAAAGAAGTGTCTTAGTGTTTACCTTTCTATTATTAGTTATATAAAGGAAAATTCTATAATACTTTCTAATATACATTAATAAGCATTTATATAAATTAAGTGAATCTTTGAATCTCAGTTTTAATTACACAAACCTTGCGAACTAGGTAATCATCCTGTTAAATCTTCCGAAGTGTGCATGTGCAGATTGCAGAAAAGCATGTATTCTGTATTACAGACCATGTGGGTGATTAGGGGTTATGCGCAATAGACTTCTGTATTCGTTAAATTGGTTTCATTGCTTCCGGTTATTAAATGTGAAGCTGTTTTACTCACGATGCCTTCAAAGTAGATACAAAGATGATCATTGTCCATCACATATGAGGATTGATATCTAAAAGATTTTTATTTTTATTAATTTCACTAATTTTTAGATATAAAAATTGAATAAAACGTCAACATTAAAAACAGCTAGCTAGTTTAACTGTTTACCTTAAAAGTCCATAGATATCGCCATTATTTAATGTGGCTGTTAACACGTTCTCTGCAAGTGGAAGCAATGAGACCTGTTTTCCGGGTTTGGTCAGGAGGCGTCCGACATATACCCTATTGGAAGATGAGAGTTTGGCTATCACTGGATATTTATGAGTACTTGAAATCCTTGATTTCAAACTAAGCTATGCTATATCATTGCCTGTTATGGCATATTAATGGCATTATGTATGTAAAATTCCTGTTACCGATATCATCCATATATTGGCCAACAGGAACAGATCGAAATTTACGTCATTATTTGTTGAAAATCTTCCCCTGCCACAGTTTTCAAAAGAGCAGCATTTACATTATTCAAAATTTATCCTATTGTGTTCTATGAAAGACAGAAGGTGAAATGAGTTTGGAACAACATAATAATTTAACTGATGACAGATTTTCGAGTGAATGTATTAATTTAAGACATGGACTGCACCTTCCAATCTGTGCATGTTTATTTATGTGTGTGCAGTTGCTTCACAAAGGAGCATCCACTCTTGTGAAACACAGCGACCTTGAATTAACTAAACAGAAGTCTGCTTTGCATTGTTCTGTCTTCAATTTCAACCCTGAATTTAGCAATCCACGCAAGTCCCCTGCAATCTGCGCCTATATAGCTCATGGTTACATACTCACATATGTTTGCCTCAGGGGTTTTTTATTAAGAAAGTATGATGTGATATTTCCCGGTTAGTGTGAAATGAGCTAATTTCACTGTGTTTTTGTGTGTGGGTGTGTGTGTATTTGTGTCTTATTTAAAAGCTATTTGACATCTTGTTGTTCACTTCCTCTACCAACTTCCCCATTTATCAGCCTTTCTTTGTGTTTGTATGTGTGTGTGTGAGTTGTAAAACGGGCACCTTTTGTAGACCATTGGATTCAAAGTGACAGTTTCTGGTTGATAATGTCAACTTATTTATGTTGTTGCATTTGCAAACTCATTTCCTATCATTTTTTACTAGCTTCCTGGCAGTTGGAGACTGTGTCCCTTGCATGCTGTTAAATCTTGTATCCTACACGCTTAAAAATAAAGATACCAAAAGGGTATTTATGTATAAATGCCATAGAAGAACCATTTTTGGTTCCCCAAAGAACCTTTTTGTAAACACCTCTTAAAATAACAATTTTATTCCCAGTGTGAAAAACATTTTAATAGTCTGAAGAACCTTTTTCCGCTTTTTCAGTAAAATCCCTTGCAGAAGAAGAGAATTTGGTAATGTTTCTCTATTGACTTTTTCAGATTTCAGAAATAATGAATTTTATGGTAATACGTTTAGATTGATATTTATGCTAACATGCAAACAATAATATGCCATGGCTGTTCGTAAGTGGAAGGTGCTGATTCTGTCATCTGATTGTTAATAGAGCCAAGTGTTTAGTCTCAGGTCAGTGGTGTGACGTGAGAAAAGGGGTAAATAATTTATCCACTGCTCTTCACATCCTTTTCTATTTCTGGTTCTGTTCTTTCTTTTGCTCTCGTTCTTTTTCTGTTCTGACTTGTAATAATCTGCCTTCTTTTTTTCTTTTCCTCCCACACTGCATTATTACTACAAGGAAAACTCAATCAGTTATGTTGTCATCTCAAAGGAAAATTGTTCAAATGAAACGCTAATGAGGTCTTGAGATATAGTTCATTCAAATATAAAAAGTATGTGATGTTTCTCCTACAATTTTTTAGGAGAACTAAAAATAGACAAATGAGACAATCGTTGACAGCATAGAGCCATTAGAAGAATGTGGATAGTGTCTCATTTTTTATATTGAAGAAATGTTTGAGTTCATATTGACATCTTTTGACTGCACACTTAGGTATCTTGGCACATTTTGAGACAGTTGATTTTAGGAAACTATATCGGACACATGTTAAGATTTACCTAAGCAAGTTTACATTTCAACCACTAAGATATCTGTAAAGTGTGTGTGTGTGTGTGTGTGTGTGTGTGTGTGTGTGTGTGAATAGGATGAGTCAAATGATAAATTATAGGCATTTAATCTGCTCCATAAACAATTTTACATAGGCTACCTTACTATCCAAAGTGTTGAGATTTTTAGAATACACATTAGCTTGTTTTCCATTTTCAACTCTTGTTTGTTAGTCAGTCTGGTATGTAGTGTGTGGGTCTGAAGCGTGACGTGTCTCTGAAGTAAACAAACAGCCGTATTGTCAGAACGCGTCTCGTTGCCTCCTTTCCTCCTTGCTGTCATCTTTGCCCACCATTCCTCTCTTTTCTCCATTTCTTTCTCTTTTCTCCTCTTTCTCTGCCTCTCCATCGTGTCTTATTTGACTCGGAGCGATAAGAAACTGGATTTCTTTAGCTGCTGAAAGTTGACTTTTATCATGGCGAGTAAAGAAAACTGATACCGTGTTAGTGTGGGTGTGAGTGTTCGTCACACTCATGCATACCAAAAATCTGAATTGCGACACAGATCATGAAGAAATTGAGCCAGGTAAGATCCGATGACATCATTCATCTCTCTTTAAACAGTACCTCTATGACATCATTACATTTCATTATGATGTCAGTTCTTAGGTTTAGCTACCATTGTTTTGACTGATTTGTTACAGAAGTTTGCACTTTTCCACTTTAATAGGTTATTGGTCTATCGATGTTGGATTAACTGATGAATGTCGCATTAAAGAACAACTTTATACATGAATATTTAAAGGGTGTTAATTAAAGGCTGTCATTAATTACTCACCCTCATGTCGTTCCAAACCCATAAGACCTTCGTTCATTTTTTGATAGAGCTGAGAGCTCTCTGACCCTCCCATCGACATCAATGCAACTGTAATGTTCCCAGGTCCAGAAACGTAGTAAGGACATCGGTAAAACAGTCCATGTGACATCAGCGGCTTCAATTTTGCGAAGCTACGAAAATACTTTTTGTGCGCAAAGAAAACAAAAATAACAATTTATATAACAATTCTTCTCCCCCGAGTTATGTCTTCCACCATTTTGGAGAGTACCCAAGAACATAATCAGCGTTGTTTACGTTTGAGGGGGAAAGCACGCACTTGAACGTAATCGGCGTAATTAGCGTTGTTTACGCTTAGGGTAAAGCGTGCGTATGTGTTGTGATACTCTCCAAAATGGCGGAAGACAGTAACTCGGGGGAGAAGAATTGTTGAATAAAGTCATTATTTTTGTTTTCTTTGCGCACATCACCCTCATGTCGTTCCAAACCCATAAGACCTTCGTTCATTTTTTGATAGAGCTGAGAGCTCTCTGACCCTCCCATCGACATCAATGCAACTGTAATGTTCCCAGGTCCAGAAACGTAGTAAGGACATCGGTAAAACAGTCCATGTGACATCAGTGGTGCAACTTCAATTTTGCGAAGCTACGAAAATACTTTTTGTGCGCAAAGAAAACAAAAATAACAATTTATATAACAATTCTTCTCCCCCGAGTTATGTCTTCCACCATTTTGGAGAGTACCCAAGAACATAATCAGCGTTGTTTACGTTTGAGGGGGAAAGCACGCACTTGAACGTAATCGGCGTAATTAGCGTTGTTTACGCTTAGGGTAAAGCGTGCGTATGTGTTGTGATACTCTCCAAAATGGCGGAAGACAGTAACTCGGGGGAG